TTATGTTTATTTATTTTTCCGCATTGCTATCCTTCTGCTATCTTTAATTGAAAAATTAGATTCTAAGGGGAAAAAGAAATCAGTTTGGTTAGAGGGGCACTCCAAGCACCAAGAACTAGGGTACAGTCATAACGTATAACAAACAGAACACATCCAATTAGTATGTTAATGAAATGGTTAATGAAGGGGTAATGCCAGAGGACACAATTATCAGTCAGCTCTGTAAATGCACACCGTGCTATACGGACAGTTTAACAAACCCAAAATATGCACATGCAAACTGCCGATTGTATTTTCCTGTCTCTGGTATAGTAGTCATATAAATGTAAATTTCAGGGCAGAAGGACATTTGTCTCAAACTTAGAATTCTCACTGGATTAAGTTGATTTAGTTTGGATATAGTATTCAATTTGTTGAAAAGCCATTGAATATCTTCTTTGGTATTTTTTTTTTTTAAATTTTTATGGTAAAATAAAAACTTTTTTTTAGTTTACAATGACACTTATGACAATTTTCTTCCAGACTGCAAGATTACAGATAGCCAAACAAAACAGCCAGGATCACCCCAATCAGGAAGACTACCAAGAAGAGGTGCAAATGTTAAAACACAAGTAAGTAAAGTAAATGTGGATACCATAAAAGTAGAAACTTAAAAAAAAAAAAAAAAAATCCAAACTTCTTATAGTCCAGAAAATAATAATCTTTTATTTTACAGGACTTTTGAAGTTAATGCTTAGTTGTTGGGGGAGGGGAGAGAGAATAGTCTCCTAGATAGAAAGGCATAGAAGTGCCAAGGCCCTACTTTTCTGTTTTGAAAAATTAAGGAAAATATTTTACTCCCTCTATTTCCAGCAGTGAGACAGTTGCTGCCACCCGCTTTTGCCCCCTTCTTCAAGCATGTTGATGTTTTCATTGCAGAGTTAAACACACTTCTAGTGGTTTTCTTCCTAAAAGCCACTAGAGTGTGCTTCCGCAGCATTAACTCAGTTATTCAATTAAAGGAACACTATAGGATCAGAAACACAAACCTGTATTACTGACCCTATTGTGTTAAAAACACCATCTAGCCTCTGATCTTACCTTTATTCCAGTCTGCTGGTGCTGGATCTGGTCCTGATCTGCCTCCTTGGCTGACATATTCAGAAGTGTTGTTCTGAGCCAATCACAATGCTTTCCCATAGGAAAGCATTGGATTGGCTGTGATTGTCAAGTAGGCAGATCAGGAGCAGAGCCTGCTTAAGTTAAACACAGCCCTGGCAAGTCAGTATCTCCTCATAGAAATGCATCGAATCAATGCATGTTTATGAGGAAAGTTCAGTGTCTGCATGCGGAGGGTGGAGACACTGAATGTTGTGCTGCACAGTGTGCATCACTGCCCCAGGACGCACCTTTAGTAGCCATCTGAGGAATGGCCAGTGGAGTATTATTTATTTATAAAATATTTTACCAGGAAAGACACATTGAGATTTCTCTCATTTTCAAGTATGTCCTGCAATCACTAGGCTGTAATGTAAACACTGCCTTTTCTCTGAAAAAACAATGCTTACTGCAAAAAACCTGAAGGGAATGAGTTTACTCATCAGAACAAACGCAATAAGCTGTAGTTGTTCTGGAGACTGTGACCCTTTAATGCTTCTCATAGAGCGCATTTGATTGGATATGCGCAGCGCCTCGCTTTCTCTATGAGGAGCATTAATTGAACAACTGAGTTAATGCAATAATAAATCACTGCTAAAGTAACTTAACCTTCACTGGTGCACATTCAGGTGCTCAAGATACATATATTTTTATCTGTATAAAAGCACATTGAATATCCACAATTCACCGTTCCCAGTGAGCTTGCTTATCGCTCTATTTTCCTTTATTTAGCAATCGCCTCTGACAGCATGTGTTTTATATAATGTGGAATTTATTGTTGATCTTTCAAAAAGTGAGAGTGATGGAAGTAAATTTGAAAACCTATTAAATGTACTTTAATACGCATCTCACTCTGGAGTGTTTTGGATGTATTTCAAATCATAAATATATATCTCTGTGGAATATGGCCTGAAAGCCAAAGACTTCAAACACACAGCTAACTGTGTTTTGATGATGCCTTTAAACAAACCTAAGGATTTTGAAGTGATCCTTAATGACTCAATTAGGATAATAGATTTAAATTTCAATTAGGCGAAATTATAAACAGCTTCTTGTAATCTGACCCACATTCCTACTATGATATGTAAAGGCGTGAAACGCAATATCTATCAATCTGTTGATCTCTCCATATTTCTCCATTGTATCGTATCATGCAGTTTGGCTGTAGGCCATGGATGGTAGTAATCCAGACCGAATTTTTTTTTTTTCTTCTTCTGAACATACACAGTTATATACATACATATGTCAATATACATTTTTAGTGTATTTGCTTTCTATGTGTATACACACCCTTTTGATAACATGAGCCTTGCAGTGTTTATTATTCACAAGCCTGGTAATTATGAGAGACCTAATCACGAACACCTGAGTAGAAGCTCCTCTACAAAAAAATCCTTGCAAGAGACTAAAAGAGTGCTAAGTGAGTTATTTTTAGTGCTGTGACTGATGTATATCACAACGGCAGCACCTTGCAAGTGCCTCACTTCTAAACAAGCAGTATAGTCCTTCTGCTGGGTGTTTCATAAACACCACCTAAACTTCTATATTGTGAATAATGCAAGCCAGATGGATATTATTTATAGTTTCCATCCGTTCTCTTAGGATAATTAAAACCGTAGAAGCAATCAGTGAAGTATTACAGGATTTCAAGTTCGACTGTGAAGAAATACAATGAAGTTTCACTCTTTCGAAGCCGCAGACTGCAAGCCAAGGCCTGGAACAGAATATTTATTTGTACCTGATGTATTTTGGCTGTTTTTCTAAGCAGATATTGTGTCCTGTTATACAAATTTTGCTATCATCATTATATTAATCCGTAGGACTATTTTGAGCCCCTAAATGAGAAAAAGAAGGGGGGGGAAGCATGCACACAACATTGGTCATGTTTTGATGAATGGAGCGTAATAAGATTTTTTTTTTTTTTTTTTAATTTAATAACTTAAATTGTCTACAGTTGGGTAATTATAGTTGATTGACTTAAGTTCTTGCAATAAAAAAAACAAAGCATTATATATGAACACGATAATACTCCCTAATATAACTTTTATAATTGTTCATGCTAGTTTGTCTTAATCAAACTTACAATTTAAAAAGCAAAACATTCTGCTCTTTCCCCTTAATTTTGCATCTGAAATAGGAAAATAAAAATCTAAAATACATGCACCCATCTGTTTGTGTCATCCCCCATTTTCTGAACTCTGTCATTTATAATTGCACTTTTTTATATTGGTTAATTTTAAGTTTGAAAATGTGTATGTATTTCTCCAAAATGAATTATTGTACTTCAAGTTTTAGATTTTGAAGCAGATAGCATCAGAGTTGCATAATCAAATATATATTTTAACACATTTTGCTTCAATTTTATATTTAGTTGTTTTTTGTTTTGTTTTTTACGTTCTTATAGATACATATTTGTTTTATATAAAATTTGTACTTTGCAGAAAAAAATAATTTATAAGATGTTGCTAAAGTGCATAAAGGTAAATTTATTTTTTATTTTTTTTGTCTAGTGAAGGCTAAAGCTGGTGAGAGGCTGCACACTTAACCCCATTTACTCAACCCCTGACCCAATGAGACAACAAATAAAGTTATATATGCATATATAAAGGAAATGTTAAGAGGTTCTACTCCACCTCCTGACACTATTACCCAATGTTTATTTTATTAGTTGTTCAGCCTCTCGCTAACATCTGCAGCCATCAATGTTGCCGATAGAGGCAAAATAGTAACCTGCAGACAGGTAGAATGGTAAGAGACAAGCGGATGTCAAAGGTAATCTGGCACTGATGAAAATGTTTGTTTCCTAAGAATTTTATGAGTGTTAAATCTGCACTGAAATACCTGGAAACCAGAGTTATGGAAGCTTTTAGTCATATGCTTAGCACTCCATCAATCCCAGCAAGCAATTGTGTAATCAGCTGTCTAACATCCTACATAATAATGTTCTAATGCTGGCTAAACATCATGGGAACCATAATCCACGTGGAAGGTCAAAGAGTAACTATAGTTGATCTCATATGTACTTGTGGGTTTTCTAGCACCCATAGCAATGACAATGTAAGTGTTTGAGTGCAAGAATGATTAAAAAGGTTATTCTGTCTATACCTGACATCCCAATGTAATTTACTATATACCTTGTAGTAAGCTGGTATCTAACTAGCATTGTTTCTTTCCTAATTTACATCTATACCGAGAAGGCTCTAAACTTTGAGGCCTTAGGATAAACTCAAACATAAGGCATGACGAACACCAAAAGTGGGGGGAAAAAAAACATAGGGTTGCATTTTATGTGACTGGATTAGAGGTATTAATGAGACAGGAGTGTTGGGGGGAGAGTGTGAAGAGTGAGAGAAGGTCAGTTTGACAGGGTGAATGTGGCAGAGCAAGGGCAGGTGAGTTTGGAGGGGGCGAGATTAACAAGATTAGGAGTGATTAATGTGAGTGTGGATGCGTAAAGTTGCTGAAAGTGTGTGGGGGGGATGACAGTGTGTGAGAAAGGGGAGGGTGATAGTGTGTGGGACAGTGGATTGATACTGTGAGGGTTGTTGTTACTGTGAGGTGGGAATATTGTGAGGGAGGGGGTAAAACTGAGGTGGGATACTTTGAGGGAGGGGGGTGATGGTGTGAGGGGGATACTGGGAGGGAGGGGGTGTGAGGGGGAATACTGGGAGGGAGGGGGTTACTGGTGTGAGGGGGAATACTGGGAGGGAGGGGGTTACTGGTGTGAGGGGGAATACTGGGAGGGAGGGGGTTAATGCTGTGGAGTGAATGCTGGGAGGGTTAATGCTTGGGGGATACTGGGAGGGAGAGGGTTAATACTGGGCTGGGGGAAGGAATACTGGGAGGGAGTGAGGGAGGGGGTGATTAAATACCTTGTTTCCCTCTCTGGTGGTTCGTGGGCTCCCTGGTGGTCCTGTGGACATGGCCGCCGGTCTGCAGCTCTGCAGTGTGCAGAGCTGCAGACCATGTATCTCACGAGATCCAGTCAGCGCGTTGCTGTGGTAACCCGCAGCATCGCTCTGATTGGTCAGAATTTGTGAGACACATGGTCTGCAGCTCTGCTCTCCTCCCGAGCAAACGGCACGGAGAGGCCTCTCACCCAGCGGTATATCCAGCAAGCCACCGGGCCCCCTCCTGGTGACTGAGGACCTTACACAGTCTGCCCTAAGGCGGTTTAGGCGGCTGCGAGGCCCCAGACAGCACGAGGCCTTAGGCAGTCGCCTAAACTGCCTAATTAGAGAGCCGCCTCTGCATCTATAGGAGGTAAAGGCATTTCCAGCTCTGAGCTTTTAGTGACATTTCAAATGCCCTTGTTAAAGAAATTATTACAGAAAGTGGTTAAATCTTATGTCCACTCATGAAAATACATTACCATTCAGCACTTATTTCTGAATGATCTGCCCACGGCTTGTAGTAATGTAGCTGCGCAAAGCCATCTATATGACACCATAATCTGTGATTCAATGCCAGGCGTTTCACAAGATGAGGCTGTAACAGATCAATATTTCTCAGAGGTTGATAAAGGGATCCCTTCCCTACATACATGAAAATGTCTCAGTAGTTTCTATAACAAAGGACACATTATATAAACTAAGTGCTGCACAACATCAAAGTGATAAAAATTGTAACTTCACAAACTTTTTTTTCATTTTTCTGATGCTATGCAGACACTAAAGGTGCTCTCCGTTACAATGTTTCTCCTGATCTGGGCTATAAGGTGTGTGCAGCTTTGCACCTATATTCTGCATCACCTGAGGGGTAACAGAAACAGAAAGTAAATCTAAAGGCTCACTATGATGCCGTCTGCCCATTTACTTTTTCTTAGAAATGTTTTTTTGGTGTTGGTTATTTTATAGAAGAAAGAAAATTCAAGCCTTGTTAGGTGAAATGGCAATGTTTTGAATAGTCCTGTTAAAGTGTTTAGGTCACAGATTGTGATCGCTTTGAAAAGCATGTTTAACCTAGGGCAGGGGTAGGCAACCTATGGCACGTGTGCCATGCACGGCACTCAAGCTGTCTTTGCACGGCACTAAAGGCTGCTAGAGCCAAACAGGTTCTGGCCTATCAGGAGTCCCAGTGTAACTTCAGATATCTGCTAATACGAAAAGGTGTTGAAGGACAATCCTCAATTTATGCATTGCAGCACGTAGAGGAAGTGATCTTAGATCACTTCATTCCAGCACTTGTGAATGCAAATCCACACAGTAGTAGAGCAGCGCACAGCTCCTGTTGCAGCTCCTGTCCTTGACCTGTACCTGGCCAGCCTGGTCCCCACTGGAAGCCAGGGAAGCCACCCACACTGCTAGATATACACAGAAATGCAGAATAACCCTCCCCTTATACAAATAATACGAACAGCCCACACACAAACCCAAAAAACTCAACACCACTGACAATCCACATACATGCACACAACCCCACATACGCCAAACAGCCCCAAACATACACACACTACCAAACACACAATGTGACATATCCATCTACACACACAATTCCACAAGCAGCCCGCATACATAGGTATCATACACGATACCACAAACTACTTAACACAGCTTATATATGCACAAATACAAAGCAACTGCAGTATAAATAACAGAAGCAGAATATGGCAACATGCACACGTCAATTTAAAAAAAAAAAAACAGGACCAACGCGCTACGGGACATCATAATCTTATTTCGGCAGAGTGCTGCTAAAAGTTTGCCTACCCCGGACCTAGGGCATAAGGCCACTTTTACAGGTCTGATACTGGCAAAAGTGGCGTAGAAAATAATCTGAATAGTGGGATGATCAGCTGCCATTAATGTGTCGATAAAACAAAGTTGTTTCCTTAACTATTGGCAAACATGCATTATAAGCAGCCTTTCCATATATTTATCTCTGCAAATGTAACATACCACATCATTAATTAAGACCTTTTATCCTGTATGACTATGAAAAGTTTAATGATCTAAACTAACACAATCCAGATGTTAACCTTTCTTATCTTGTTCAAATCCTATTTTCTATAAAGGTCTCATTTTACCTGAATAGTATATTTCTTCCAGTTGTCTCCACTAACTGCAATCATGTCCTCCCATTTCCCAAAGGTAATTGCCATTCAAGTCATTTGCCAAATGGATAAAAAGTCTGCCTAGGAATACTTTTGAAGTACATGAGTATGCTGATGTAAATATGTACATGTAAGGCCTGGGGCTTTTCACCCTTTATGACCAATAAATAGTATTTAGAAATTCAAAAGTTTTATCATGTGTTTGTGGGGGTTCATAGTGGCCACCTATTTCTTCATATTAAATCTTGTCACCTATCAGCCATTTGAGGATCATGACTGGGGCATCCAAAATCTGCTGACGTGAGAATGTTCCTCAAGTAAGTGCTAACTTTTCCTCATATTACTTGTGCAATGATGCCATAATCTAATCTTTAATTGTTTCAGTTTTTTAAAATCATGTTGTCCTATTCAAGCATTGCTCTTATGTTTTCACACGGCTTGTTTATTGAGCCCCCTGGTATGCATGGCAGTGTGTAACACTGTTCCTTTGTAGCCCATGTCCATGATTCTTTTAAGTAACCTGATCAGTACTGCTTCACTCCTTGATGGCTTTTGAATTTGACTCCGATATCCTGACCATTGGTAATCCCCTTTTTGATCTGAATAAGTTATGACCTTGACTCGGATGTCCTGATTACGCTCATGGTACAATTATATATATTATATGACCGCGGCTGTGCTTGCTGTTACCTCAATTGGATGGATGCTCAATATTGGACTTTGCTTTTTGACAAACTCCTGGTACTTTTTGGATTACAATAGTTACAATAAACTCCATCACTCAAGCTCTGTCTATATTGGATTCTATACTTTGTTGGTATACTTGTTTGGTTGATGTTCCAGGAGGAATATGCCAAATGGCAAATGATTTAGGTAAACTAGAAAAATGGTCAGAGCTTTGGCAACTGAATTTAAAAAATAAAATAAATCTTTATGGTTTTGTTTTTCAATTTTGAGATTTCAAGAGTGTTACAACAAGTGACTCAATTGTAGTGGTAAGGAATATACATGAACCATTAGAACAACTTTTGAACATTGGCTAACAGATTTCTAAGAAATGAGTGCTGTTCAGTTTACATATTGAGCAATCCCTCATTTGTAAGCATGTTATCGGGCATTTGCCCATGTGGTTGGAGCTCCGGCTTTCTGCATTCGTGCCCCACATGGTTGTTATGTGGGCATTTTCTAAAGAAGCGGTGGTTTAGGGGTGGAACGGGAAGAGCCAGAGTTTGCTATTGGGACTCAGTTTTAGCAATTTTATTGGATTTTTGGTTACTTTAAAGAATGATGGGCGTCGTGTACTATAGGTTGTGTAACCCCATGTTATTGGGTCTTTACAGGGTGAATGCCTTGAGGTTTGTTGTATGCGACTGGTGTTTTTCAAGTCCCATTAAGAAAAGTAAGTGTAGAGGAGAAAAGTGTAGGAGTTACGGTGGAAGGATAGGAAGAGGTAAGTGGGAGTGAGTGTGGAGCTCTGCAGGAAATCAAGAAGGATTGAAAGGTGTGGAATTGAGTCGCGGCTCCACCTTCCCTTGGAGTGTGAGAGGCAGGGTGAGGGTAGAAGATGCTTAGGGTAAAAGAGGGGGGAGATTAAAGTGCCTGTGACTGTGCTATGTGCTCAGAAGGCATGTTAACAGGATGGATTAGGGTGATTGGTGCCTGATGAGGGTGGTGCTTCACCACAGTAGAGTTGTCTCCCTCCAGCCAGGGGTTCCAAATTTTGTGAAATTGTTTGGATGTGTCATGGATTTGCAAGGTGAGGTTGTCCATTTCTGTGCTGTATTGTATTTTTGTTACTATAGCTGTTAATCTTGGGATGATAGTGGTGGACCATTGTTGTCCGATTGCTCTGCGGGTGGCTAATGTTATGCGTGCTTGTAAAGCCCTTGTAAAGATGTCCAAGGGTTTTGATAGCAAGAGTGCCCATGTGTCCAGGGGGCAGGGTTGGCAACTTACATTTAATGTAAGTAAGTCATTGTACAGAATACTGGTAAGACCTCACTTGGAGTATTGTACACAGTACCGGAGACCATATCTCCAGAAGGATATTGATACTTTGGAAAGAGTTCAGAGAAGGGCTACTAAACTGGTTCATGGATTGCAGGATAAAACTTACCAGAAAAGGTTAAAGAATCTTAACATGTATAGCTTGGAGGAAAGATGATACACAGGGGGGATATGATAGAAACATTTAAATACATAAAGGGAATCAACATAGTAAAGGAGTAGACTATATTTAACAGAAGAAAAACTACCACAACAAGAGGACAGTGTCTTAAATAAGAGGGGCAAAGGTTTAAAAATAATTTCAGGAAGTATTACTTTAATGCATGGAATAGCCTTCCAGCTGAAGTGTTAGAGGTTAATACAGCGAGGGAGTTTAAGCATAAGGCTATTCTATACTTAATGTATGGCCAGGGACTAATGAAAGTATTTAGAAAAATTGGGCAGACTAGATGGGACTGCGATCACATTCTATGTTTCTCCAAACCTGCCTGTTTCTATAAAGGACTGAATATATTGCTCTCCACTTTGGTACTAATCTGTTACACTGGTCCATGCCCACGTAACCTCCAATGTTCTCGAACTTACATTGGTCTGCAGCTCAGTACAACTAAATGGTTATTCTGCTAATATCCTTCACTGTTCACTGTTCTTAAGCTGCAAAGGTTTTTTTTTTTTTTTAAATATTGTATATATTATTATGTGTTATAATAACACTGCAGCAGTATTATTATTTTGAAGTGCATTGTTCAAGCGAACAGTTGTTTATGGGTTTAAATATGCCAAGTAGAGTATTTTCATTTACTAATCAAACTATTGTCTTCTCCAATCATTGCCAAAAAAAATTAACCATAACTCCCAGGTGTTCTGACAGCTGGCTTCAATAGTACGCACTATTATACGCAGGTGGTATTCACCCTATGTTATATTAGGCAGTTGAGCCTCGAACTGCTGTACATGATGGTTCTTTCCATTAAAGCAGATGGTAAGAAAGAAAATAGTGCAAAACCTTTTCTTGCCTTTTGTGCCTTTATTAATAGTGACATAATAAAGTGCTGTTTAGTGCATTTGCTCCTTGCAATAATGGCTAGGGTGCATACCTGGTCAGATCTGGTACCTGACACGCCATGGTCTAGTAGCCTAACTCGAACTTTTAGATTCTCAAAAGATAAGACATGAAAAAGAGAAATAAAAAGAAAACTAACACTAATGTCAACTGTTAGTGACATGTGCAGTTGGTTCTACTTTAGTATTTTGTATATACAGATTTAGCTAATCTCTAATACTTAACTTTTTTGAAGCTGGCAACAAAAAAGGGTAGAATCGTACAATTTCTATGCCCTTTGGGCACACCTGGAGCATGGAGACTTGCTAAAGTCAAAACACACCATAGCTTCAGTCCAAAAAAAAAATTTGGTGACCCCTTCCAAAGGTCCCAACCATGACCGCTCACCAAACACCACCCCTTAACATGCCTCTTGACACACTCACTTTTACTCAGACACACAGGCATAAACAGACATACACATATAGGCACACAGGCACAGATGGAAACGGGTAGGCACAGGCAGGTACAAACTGACAGACAGGCACACACACGCATAGATATGCACACACAGACAGGAACAAACCAGTACACACAGACAGACATGCATAGACAAACACAAACAGTTACACCCGGGCACATAGACACAGCCAGTCATACATAGGTACACACAGGAAAACATATACACATACAGACATGCATTACATAAAAAAATGATTGGCTTCCTTGTAATCCATCATCTTGCAGGATGGGAGAGGATTACAGTAGGCAAGTCTGGTATCTATTTCATGGTGGTCAGCATTCTGTATTCTGCCAGCCCTGCTCTTCATTTTCCAGGTATTCATGCCCGTCTGCCCAGCTTCTGTATACTCTGTGCTCAGTCCCATGAATCTATATCAGCCAGGACCAGAAGTAGCACAGTAACAGAGCTATTCAGAGAATATGTTACAATGTCATATTTCCTGCTGTCAGGGTACCTATGCATGTTGCCCAGGCTGGGACATCCTCCTAGTAGAGGGGGACCTTCCTCATGGTCCCTCTTCTCTCATCAGCGGTTCCAATGCCAGCCGATGTAGCCCCGCCCCTTTTATGACAGGTGATGTCACAGCCTGACAAAATGTTTGAATTCGACTAATTTGGGGGCCATGGCTATAAAAATTAAAAAGATCAAACCGGAAACAAGGTGATTGTACACACAATGGTAAAACCTTGCAGTTGGTAATGGTAATTAAAACTTATATAGTATGAAAGATAAAAATATCATGGTATAGTACAGGGATAGGCAACCTTTGGCACTCTAAATGTTGTGGACTACACCCCCCATAATGTTCTTACACCCATAATGCTGGCAAAGCATCATGGGAGGTGTAGTCCAAATCATATGGAGTGCTGAAGGTTGCCTATGCCTGGTATAGTATGTAAACACAAATCAGAATGGTGAGATAACTTGGAACACTCACAATTTTATCACCATTCTGATTTGTGTTTACATAATATACCATGATATTTTTATCTTTCATATTATATAGGTTTTAATTACCATTACCAACTGTGAGGTTTTACCATTGTGTGCGCAATCACCTTGTTCCCTGTTTGATCTACGTGTATATTAAGTGTGAAAGTGACATTGCATTGATTTATTGACTACAATGGGTTTTAATTAGAGCACCATTGATCCTTAAAGAAACACTGTAGTCACTATAAACATTTCATCTCTTTGAATTGGTTACAGTGCCTGGAGTACCCTGGCACTGTCCCTCCATTCAGTGTTGAACCATGTTTGTGCAGTATGCCACAAAATAAGAGTCCCTGGCCACCCACAATCCGGCCCCTTCTGTACGTGTAGCTAAGGCAGAGATTACACACTTCCTTGTTGTCATACCCATTCATACCGGCAGTTGGAGCTCTGACAGGCTAAAAGCAGTCAGCTGACACTCTCAGCCAATCACAGCTGCCCATTGCTGCTCAGGGTAATACTTCCTTATTAGCCAAAGCAGCACAGAGGGGATGGACTGCCGAGGACTCTTGTTTAGCGTAAAAACCTTAAAACATTAAAAACTGTTTAAAGTTAAAATAAATGGCGGTACCAGGGGACTCCAGACACTATAACCAGTTTAATGAGATGAAGCAGATACAGTGCCTACGGTGTCCCTTTAAAAGTTTTTAGTTATTATAAAAATTTAAAGAACCACAATATAAAAAAAGGTTCTTAGGGCATAAGTAATTGCCCTGTTTTGGTTCAAGTTTTGTTTGATTATTCTACCTTCTATACTCCTTTGTTATTGTTATATCACTATTCCTGATTTCTGGCTTTCCTGACTACGGCTTGACCCTAACTATTCTCTGACCCTGTATACGTTAATCCTGGGTGTTCTGTGGTCCGGTATACATTTATCCTTGCTTTATTATTACATTCTGTATGTTGGGTCTCTCTGTATTCCTGACACCTAAATCTCTTTTGCTGCACTGCTTTTATTCCCACTCATCTCCCATTTTAGGATAGTGGGCAAGGGGAGTAGTGCAGCCTTGCAAAGCAAACAGATTTGATGCCTGAGGCCCCCACATTCAGGACTATAGCCCCTCCCCATTAGCGTCGCCCCTGCTGGAGCACATTCATGCAGTGCTAGGACAAGCATCTCTGTTGGTGCACCAAGTAAAGGAGCAAAACTGGGTTTCTCCTAGGAAAGGTGGCTGTCCGCTGACTACAAGTGCAGGTGGAAACTATAAGCAACTACCTTTAAGATTTTCTGTCTATTTTTTTCTGGTTCAAGGTAATTCCTCTTTTCTGTGTGAATAAGTGATCCTGCTCAAAATACAACACATAGGCAGTATACCATGATTGTCAGATATTTACAGAGGAATTTAAAAACAAAATAATTGACTTGGACACTTCATAGTTTAGGAATTATGAAATCTTTGAAAATACATGTACAAGGATATGTGCGTTTTTCATAACTAAATCTCACCATAGTGAAGCACAGTTTCCATTACTTGTTTTGTTTACCACTTTTCTTTGTAGATAGAATAATCACATTGTAAAACCACATTATAAAAAATCTTATAATGGACCTGCATCTGTAGTATGTCTAGTATTTAAAACACCAGACAGAGTGGTAGGATCTTGGTCAAATCTGGGCACCTAATGTCAGCCAACTGTGAATGCTGCTTAAATGGAATAATGAATTCCCCAATGCTCCTACATATGGAGTTTGTTAAGTGTAGTACCATATACATGTTTATTTACAAAAATGACGCGCAGCTGATGTGAGTAGACCAGTTGACATGCTTCTATTCTTGTTTTTGCTTATATTAAAATTAAACTAATATCTTGTCTCTCCTAGGTTGGTCAGCTGATGGACAGGACACTACATTGCTATAATAAAATAACTAAACCAGTTTATCTCATTTAGAATTAGTGCTTTCTATTTATAGATACATGTAAAGGCATCCTTGTTTATAGGGCTGTATATACCAAGAGAGGGCACCACCTCAACTTTACTTATGATATATAATATTTCATCCTTCCCATCTCCGCCTGTTGCATTGTGGGGAGTATGGAGTATGTGAGTAAAGTCCCTGGTGCTCTAGCAGTGGCTGGGTGTAGCAGGATGTTAGTAACCTCAGCAGCATGACCTCTCATCATTGCTTCCTATTTAACGCCTTTTCCTGCTGTCTAATGCAGAGGAACTCATGTTGGATAGCAATCAACTAGAAGAATTGTTTGGCAATGACTGCACAGGCTTCTTTCCCTCTTGCAATCCCTGCTAGAACAAGGGATTCAAATTGTTTGGGCTACTGGTCCAGTGGGTTTTAGAGCCTTGGAGGTATCCCCTACTCTTCAGCCCTTATTTATAGACCAATGTTTTTATTTTATCTTTTGCGTGTGTGTTAAAGGAAACTTCTGGCCAAGTTAGAAGTTACTGTTCTTCTGGCTTCCACAACAGCAGCACACTCTATTTCTGCTATTGCATGTGTCTGTTTACTTGAGCTGTTATTTCTCTATAAATCAGAAGTCAAAGCCAAATTTAGCAATCCTGGTTGGGAAATTATGATCTTCAACAATTACTCAAGTGGAAAGAGCAGAATGATCGTCTGTACTGCGTGTAGAATTTTATAATGTCTGCCAGTGGGGAAAGAAGTCCAGCTTCTTTCTTTTTTTTTACATTTTATTATTAAAATGTCAGAATCTGATCTAAGTGAAAACACAAACCATTTATCCACAGGGTGTTAACCTCTTTAACTCTGGGCAAACCTATAAAACCAAAACACTCACACAGGGGTGTAATTATTCACAAGACAATTTCATAGCATAGCACTGCAACACCTCTTTTTTTTGAAGGATCAACAAAAAAACTTGCCTGTAGTAATTAGGATGAAATAATAACTGTGAGTGGAAAGAAAACTGAATATTTTTTCTACCACATTTATGTTGGAACATACATTACATACTTTAGTTCAAATACATATAGTTGTGTAGCATTAATGGTTAGTTTTATGATTAGATACGTAAAAGAGCACATTGAAATATTTCTGTAAAAATAATGGGTCATTATAAATTACAGGAATTTTTGTTCTATTAGATGCCACTGGGAATCTTGGGGACCCTTGACACACATATAGATACATAATCATAGACATACACACGTTACCAGACATATGCTTTCCCAGACATACAAACACAGACACAAAGATGCTTACTCACAGATACACATTACCAGCTATACATATGCATCCACGAACACAGAGACACACATTTACAGACACACACTGCCAGGCACACATAAAGATTACAAATATGTTCTTAGGGAATGTTTGAGTTCATACTGATAGATAAGACATCACACATTTAGAACGCTCAAAGAAAGCCGTGAAACAATTAACCTACACTCACATAATCTTTACAGGTTTAACAGAAAACTGTAACAGAAAACAGTTCATACAATAGGATTGCAAATGAAAAGTGTCATAATAATAAGTGTGAGTTTTTTTACAGGTATTATTTTTATTGTGTATTTAATATTAGATTGAGACCCCTTTTATGGTTTTTATGGCCCCTACCTGCAGCCAATGGTTGGACTGGGGGATACTAGCACCCCCAGTTATCAATATTAGAGTCAACACCTATTGCCATTTATCAATATTAGTGCCCCCATCTGCCGCCTATTGGAACACTAAGTATATCCTGTTCATTATAATTATAGCCCAAACCTCCTGGTCATGGGTGGGGGAGTCAAAAAGGACACTATGTCCCCTACCATTCATTGGGGCATAGGGGGACTTTATGCCCCCACATTATAATATAATTGGAGTCCCAGCATAGGGACATGAGGGGGACACTATGCTCCCCTCGCTTTTTTTTTTTTTTTTAACTGATAGCTCCACTCTGTGGGCACTGGGGAGGTGGACAATATTTGTTCACCTTGTTCATTAAAATGGCCCAAATTCTGCTGAATCACAATTCTTCTGATACCGATTCTACAAGTCTACTAGCAAGTAGAATGTGCAACAGAGATGCCACCGGTCAGAGGCTTTGGGCATTTAATTGCGTTATATCATTTCTAAAAAAGTTAAATATAATCCAATTTCTTAATACATATGTAAGAGAAGGAAGAAATACACCTCCTTAACATTTTTGACCATATACTTCACTGCTATTTTAAGGCAAACATCATTTCTGTGTAGCTAGCTAACTAAGTTTTTGCTCCTCCACAATGTCAATGGCTAAATCTTCTCAAATTAGATGTTTACCAGCTTTCCTTTCCCACCATCTTTTTTTTTATTTTAAATTCTTTATTTTTGTAGTGCGTAAGCTTTTAACAGATGGTTGTGAGGTACCCCAAAGGCATTCCTCCAACTCATTAGAGACAATTGAACATAGAGGTACATGAGAAATCTAGCACAATTTATATGTTTAAAGAGAGTTTGAGTAGTAAACAATGGAGGGTCTAACTGCTAATTCTGTCTCATAGCTGATAACATTGCTGGTATATCTAGTTAGCTGATTTTAAGCAGTTTAGAGTAACATACGAGCTGAGCAATACAGGCTTAGTCTAGCTTTTATACAGGAGTTGATTACAATTGGTTGGTATAGGCTGGCAGTGGCATTAACCCCTGGTGCACTTCTGGTTTCGTAGTGTGATTGTAGGCATAGGTCTGCAACCAAATATTTTTAAAGAAAAGGAAATAATTGATAATGGTACAAATAAAAATGATGAGGCAATACTAATGTTGTGAGACTAGCGGGTCAAGTAATGGACTAAATTCTGCCATGAGAGTCCCAGTGTCAGGCCCAGCATCCTGCAGGAGTGGGGGCAGGTAAGGTTGGAGTAGTGTTCTGGCAGGGTGTCTGAGATCTGTCCGAGCTGCGCTAGCTGCAGCAGTGGCATGCTTGGTTTGTGGTGCATATTATTTGCACTTCGCCTTACAGGGTTGAGCAGTCATCTCCCTCACGCCGACCACGCGTGTAGGCCTCACCGTGTGAATAGGTGCAGTAAGCCGGAATCGTAGCTTGTGTGGCATCGTTGTGTGCCCCTGGGTTTCGCCTGTAACCTGGAGGCCCTTTTGGACCGATCAGATCCCGTTTTGGCTATCGAAATCCGATTATTTAGCACCGCTGACAGGAGACTTTCGAGTTTGCTTCCTCTGCTCTCAGCGGTCAGGCCCCGTCCCCCCCACCATCTTTTTTTAACCAAAAGGCAGTCTCATACTTTTTATCCCCTCATAATAACAGAATGAACAGAAAAGCCCCTCAAAATAAAGACAAGCCCCGGCCATGCATACTCTTGTGACACCTACAGGCCATATACTGAAGGCAATGCGCCAATAACATTGAGTAAGGATCCTCACCTCCAATCCTAATGCAACAAGGAAGCAAGTTTATTTTTCTGGGCTTGTTTGGAATTTCATTCTTTAACAATTTGACAAAACTGCTCAAATTTGGTTTAACCCCTTAAGGACACATGACATGTGTGACATGTCATAATTCCCTTTTATTCCAGAAGTTTAGTCGTTAAGGGGTTAAACATCTTCTGCCATTGTGGTCTCTCTATCACCTGATCAACCAGAAATGCCCACGTGGAAGGGATTGGTGTGTGGAAGTGCTGGTCATGGTTATGTTATTTTTTCCTTGTTTGAAAGTGATAGGAATGAAACTTCAAAAGTTACAAAAATATTATATTTGGCTTAGGAGGAACATCACTTTTATAAACCTAGACTTGCACCTACTTCCTTATAACGACGTCTCATCTGGATTGCCTTTTCAATGACTGCACACGTAGGGAATGTTTCTGCACTATCATCAAGATAGAAACCCACAATATGAATAAGTGTCTCCATGATTATATCACTTCACACAAGCACATAAAAACACATTTTCTGCCAGAAATATTTCAGTAAGTGCAAATTTGTTATTTTTATCACTAATTCCAAAAATACTTCTTTTTATTAAACTTGTAATTTAAGCTCATAGATAGATATAATGTTACATTGACATAATCCTTATCAGCTTCTCATGAATCGTTCTGTCTACCTGAGAATGAGCAAACAACTGGAATTTTAGAATATAGTCAATCTATTATTTTTAACCTCTTTTAGATTACATTCAGTTTCATATATATCTTCATTCAGTGTCTGTTTCGACCAGAAATGTTTGATACAGTGATTTCTATGACTAAATACTGTATGGACTTATGGAACGTTCCTGTTTAAGAATGAAATATTCTGAGTGATTATTATACAATGCATACATCTAATTCCCAAATGAAAATGAAAATATAAAAAGTTACATTTTAACTAGAAGCAAAAATAAAAGGAAAACACGAGAAAGCAAGACAATGGCACATTAGTTTTCAAATAGTCCATAATAATTATAATAATAATAAAAAAAACTATAATGCAGCAAATAAATAGTGATGCAGAGTGGATACTTTGGTACCTGCTAGTGTGGAACTAGTTTCTTTCGTAAGTTTATCTTCAATATCCTTTTATCCACCAGTGGCAATTGATTGACTAGCAGTGAGCCTGTACTGCATTTGTGGATATCTAATGCACCGGGAGATGGTCAGACAGATTAAATTCTGCACGTCCTTTTACAAAGTGGGTCTTGCTTACTGGCAATGATTGAGACAGACGTTTGCATTTCTACTCCAGATGAAGGCCATGAATGGCTGAGCACAACAACGGCCGTGCCTACACCAGTGTTCTGCAGGAGCAGCGGCTGTAGTGAGACCAAGATGGTGATGGAAAAATGGTGACCAACATATTTTTTACTTTGAATGGGGAGCAGTAATATTAATTAGCAGAGGAACACTCACATTATAAATAAATTAATGTATAACAATGAAAAAGTTTTCGTTGACGGAGGGACATGTCTGGCCTGTATAAATACACACAGTAAGAAAAGGCATATTGTGAATTTAAAGGATACTGTCATGATCTTGTTCAGGTCAGATAGGAGGCTTTGGCCAGAGTTACCAAAATAGGCTTTATTTGCAGGTTAACTTGTAGAATAAAAAAAAAATAGGGAGAAGGGAAGTGAGAGAAATAAATGTTAAGGCAATATGCCCTATAAAGATAATAAACAGGTTTGCAAATAAGAAAGTTAGAGATAACAGTATAGGAAGAATAATAAGACCGGTATAAAGAACAATTAGGTTTCAGGGTAAGAAAATAACACCTTGTAAATAAGAATAAGCAGCAATGTCCATGTAGGGGCTAAGCAGGACTGTTATAGAGCAGGTTTGGTAGTAAACCAGGTAGGCAGGATAAAACAGTGTTGCAAGTAATCCAGGTTGCTTCTCAGGAGCCAGGATCTGAAGTCTTTTCAGTATGAACATCAACTTTAATGTAAAGGCCACTTGGTTTGTCAGGTGTGGCCTTTTATTTATGCTATACAGGTGTGAGACTGAGGTGACTCGTGGCTAGGGAGGCCACTATAGGCGAGAAACAGGTACTTTACTTAAAGGAACAGAAAGAAATGAACATAGAACTTATCTGTCAGGATAAGATCCTGACAGATACACAGGATGAGAAGAGCTATAGAATAAAGAATTTTCATCACTCTACAAAAGTGATCTACCTATTAACCTGCCCATGTGGCTTAAAATATGTTGGACGCACAAAACGTTGTCTTCATATACGTATTGAAGAGCATGTCCACAATACGAGAAAGAAATTTGAGGGTCATAGCATTTCCAACCATTTCAGGTCCACACATAATGGTTCACTGAAAGGATTACAATTCACAGGCATTCAGAGATTGTTAGGTAATTGGAGGAGAGGAGACTTAATAAAAAGTTTAGGAAGGCTAGAAATGCAACACATTTTTAATTTAAACACACTCCAACCACAAGGCCTTAATATTGACTTTGAGTCATGCCATTTTTAATGAATACTTTTTGGATAATTTTATGAATATTTATTATGAATATTCATTTATTTATATACTGTCTAAATTAATATAACTGATTATTAAAGATATAATATTCAGATTGCATTAGTATAAGATATTCTATTTTTAAAATAAGGTATTTTTTCCCTAAGGGGCATTGGGTTATTGTTTTTTTTTTGTTTTTGTTTTTAAAAAAAATTATTTTTGCAGTGCAAAGAAATAACACAACATGCGCGAGGTACCCCAACGACATTCCTCACTCTGGTTTTCAACATTTATAACAGTGGGGTTTCGAGGTTACGTGCACTTTTTTTTTTTGGTTAATTATAGAGATGATGAATGTAAATCAGCATATGAGACTTAGACATGCAATCAATAAACAGGCTTTACAATGCTGTGGCTAACATGTTATCAGGTTAGAGATGCGTAAATGATTATCATAGAGTGTTGTAGATTGAGAGTGTGACAAGTTGCTTAAGTTACAGGATTTACAGAAGCCTTCCCCCCCTATGTGGAGCCCAAGCCCCAAGAGTATCCCCACACAGTACAGGCTTACCCAGACCCCTTCTTGCATGGCCTTTAGCATGGTAGTGGTGAGTTCAGCATGGTTGTTAATAGGGGGTATGAATGCTCTCCCTGTGTATGGTCTCTCTTCTGCTCGATCTTCCTCTGAAGGCTGCCGGAGTGCATGGGTGTCACGCTGGTCGGCAGGGTACATGACTTTGCTTGGTGAGGGACCGGAGAGCTGTGTCCGTCTGCTCATTGCCGCTGGGACCGGGGGTCCCTCTTGCTGGAAGGTTGGGCAGTAGTTTGGTTGCTGTAGGGGGTTTGCTGCATCGGGGGTTCTGTTCCACTATGCGTTGGTGATCCCTGGCTGTGCCGCCACTTCAGGTCTGCCTCCCTCACCCGCCATTTTAGTAGCTGGGGCCCCACCAGACCTGGGTGCTGTAGGTTGTGGGGGCGGTCTCCTGGGACCGGGATGACCCCCGCCGGTCCAAAGGGGGGGGGTAACGGGGCCCTTACCACGTGGCGTTGGAGCTCCAGAGGGAAACCACAGGGCAGGATAGCAAGGCGGCCGCCGTCCACCCTACCCACTGCCCGGGTAGGCCTCATGTGCTGCAAACCCTTTCAGGGTTTGTTACGCTCGTTTTCATAGAGGCCTCAGCACTGGCACCCCTTCGTCAGCAGGATCGTTGCTTCCAGACTGCAGATGGGTGAGTTTGAGGCTTTTCATAGCCATTAACATCTGTGGTCCGCAGGAGCTCGCCTTGCATGCGACCTCTCAGCATGGCGGTCCGGCCCCTCCCTGGGTTATTGTTTTAATAGTATTATAAAATGCAATAATTTTTGTTATATATTTTAATTTTATGTTTTTTACAAGTATATTGTGTGAAATATATAGACTTTTACTAATGTTTCCTGTGTAATTTTTCTTATGCAATTTCGTCTCTAAGTATAAGTATAATGTTATAGGGTATATATATAAAAAAAAAACTTTCTAAATATATTAAATACCCTAATTTGTATATTTACATGTTATCTCTCCTTTATGACTTTTCTTGCCCCTAAACAATATGAAATCTTTTGGACATGGACACGCTTTACCCCGCCCAGCGGAGGTGTTAGTGAGAGTTGGAGGTATAAGAAACAGGCTCACTTAAAAACTGGAACTGATGTGTTGCAAAGGGCGCAACATCACTTCTGGGTATAAACCGGGCTAAGAATAGGCATAATAGGGTCTTAGAGGCTCGCAGGGCCGCCATCAGGGCATGACAACCGCAACGGTTGTCATGGGCCCGGCGGTCCTGGGGGGCCCGGACTGCTCAGGTCGTCCGGGCCCCACATTCAGTGGGTACATACCGGGTCGCAGGGGGTCCTGCGACCTCGGTTTGTACCCACAGGGCCAGCCTCTTCTCCTGGGGGGCCCAGCAGCCGGTCACCTCAGGGCCCCCCAGAAGCTGGCCCTGCTGTCACCCGGCGGGCCGGCGCGCGAGGGAGCACTCTCTGTGTGCTTCCTCTTCAGCTCCCTCGCGCGCCGAGTACTGATGCCGGAGCCGGAAGATGCTTCCTCTTCAGCTCCCTCGCGCGCCGCGTACTGATGCCGGAGCTGGAAGATGACCTTCCGGCTCCGGCATTAATACGCGGCGCCCGAGGGAGCTGAAGAGGAAGCACACAGAGAGTGCTCCCTCGCGCGCGGGCCCACCGGG